GGGGGGGGGAGGGGTTGGGTCAGGAGAAACCCCTGGCGGCTCATCCGGCCCCGACGCGGCGACGCCTATGGGTGCCGCCGAACCTTCCTGGAGGGCGTCGGGTACACCCCCCTGCCCCCCCCCTCGCGTACCAGGCGAAACCCTAGGACTAGTCCGGGCAACAGCGGCGTTGTCGGCGCCTCCTTCTTGAAGGTGTTGCTTGGTACACGGCGCTTCGGAATGCTGGGTGCGTGGTGGTACTTCTCCAGAGGGTGCAGCGGTTGCCGGCCATCTTCGTTTCGTTGATCTGCCGTTGTTGGCATTTATTTCTCTTTCCTTTTCTCTCTTTTTTCTTTGGGCTTGTTTGTGTTGCGGCCCCAGCGAGCTGGCTGTATCGGATGATGCTTTATCTATAAAGCGGGAGGAACCCTTTATCGTATTAACACCTTTCTTGTTGAGTCACGGTAACAACTACGAGTACAAACATTAGCACCTTGGTTTGAAGTCAAAATCGTATGTGGACTTGTAGTGCCTCGTACTACCTCGGTTAGACTTCGCACCATGTTTTTCAGAGAGATAAGAAGCAGTGCATGCAACATCCGCGTAGGTGCGGACAGGCATGCAGAAAGAATTCTCCGCTCAATACTTATGTCGTCAAATTCTCTGCCCAGTCGCACACGATGAAAGTACGTACGCGGTATTCGAGAGAAATGCAGCCGATCAGTGCCCTTTAAATAGTGCGAGACCTAACGAGTAATTCAACCATCTCACAGTGCTAACCTTTGTACGATCTAGCTAAGCTAGCGACGCATAGCGCTATTTGCAAAGCTTGTTTGTGTGAACCGACCATAATTTAGAATATGATGATGATGAGATCGAAGTTCGTTGCCTCGGTGATCGTGATGATGGCGATCATGGCGCTCCTCGTCGGGTCGAGCTTGGCGCGGCCGTTGGGCGGCAATGCGCTGGCCGGAGAGACCGCTGCCGTGGTAGTCTCCGACGACTCCGGCCTCCAGCTTCTCCAGCGACTGTATCTGCAGAACCTTCAGGGAGGACTACCAGGGCCGTCGTGCTCGACGAACAGCCCCAACGTTAAATGCCCACCACCCGCACCTATGGGTTGAGGAGGTGCTTTGCTTTACACGGTGTTGGTGCTTCATATTATACGTTCTTTGATTTAGTTTCGTTCATTTAATTACTTGGGTATTGCATTCGTTAGTTCCATTCTTTGACGAATAATTTCCCCCAAGTGTAAGGGTGTGAATTTTCCATTTCAGTTTATGCAGACTATATCTAAACTGAGCTTGTTACTGACTGTATTTCTACTTTTCTTAACCGTGATATATTCACGTGGTGAAATGTAAGGGACCATATGTATCGGTATATAATAGTGACTTTTCAATAAAAAGAAGTTGATAGGTAGTTTGATGTCCTATTCTTTTTAGAAATTTAATTATTAAGAACCAGTCATTGTTTAGATGATCAGAAGAGTGGATGTACCCACAGCTTCTATATTTCTCATTTAAGAGGATCATACCCTGGGTGGTAGCAGATGTTCTTGTCGGTAGCGAGATGTTATTCGACTTCATTATATTAGTCTTGAATATCTGCAGCTCTAGCCAAGTAAACACTGATAATTCATAGTCACCCATTGCGGCGGGTTGATTTTCTACATAGGACCAATATGCATCTGCATGCAGCTTGCCTATCTACTCCCTCCGTTCCAAACTACTCGTCGTGGTTTTAGTTCAAATTTAAACTAAAATCACGACGAGTAATTTAGAACGGAGGGAGTAGTTCCCTGCCAAAAAAGAAAATCAATTTGGAGCATTCAAAATTTTGAGGGTGAACTTCAGACATTGTAGGTTAAGCTTTCAATAATATAACCAGGATTTCAAAAAATGTGAGTTGTACTTTTATATATTTTGATATGAAACTTTAGCAAATCTGGTTAAAACTTTCAATAATTTAATCAGACTTTCAAATTGCTGAGATAAGTTTCAAAAAAGAGTAATATCCATCATCCACAAATATAAATCATTATCTTAATTTGATTGAATCCAACTTTCAGCTTTTTTAGAAGTAAAAAAGACCAAAATTCGAAGTCAGGTTACTCCAAACCTTTGACAACAAGAGATGGAGAGGGCATGATCAGTCCGAAGTGCGGCAGGAACTTAACCTCGACCTAATCAGTGCTCGGATCTCCACTAGAACACCCAACGAGAAGCTCTGCGACCTGGACGACTTCTTGGACGTCTTGATCCATGGCCGGAGTGACGTGCAATCATTATGTATAGAGATGCATCGTTGGTACAGTCGTAAATCAATCTAAATATTCTCAAATCAGAATATGTATTCAGTTTGCTCCAATTCGAGACATCCGCAAAATTATGTGAATAGTATGATGATAGGCTTAATATTAAATCAGTGTCCTCTAATCTAGCGCCTAACTAACATGCAACTTAAATCTAGCGCCTAACAAACAAGCATGAGGGAGTACAATATACGGAGTATGTCATTATCCAAACGCATGCAACTTTATTCTGGCCCGGTCCAAGTCAAACATGAAGCCAACGGAAGCTTATGATGGATCTTTCGTCGACTCGACCCGCTAATGTAGGGCATACAACTAATGTAGACTAGTACGCATGTACTCTTGACCAGACCAAAGGAAAAAAGAATTGAAGTTTCATGCTCCAAATGGATTTTTTTTTTTGCGACAAATGGAATTGCTATAGGAAGTCAACTAGTCAATAACACACGGACGCGGTGCTTTCCACTCCGTGCAAATATGACCGTATATAATCCAGGCAGTTGTTCACTTCTGCTGGTGCTGGGTACGGCTTTGAAGTTTGAAATGACAAATTCGAGTATCCATGCACGAACTCGGGTCTTGTCAAGACAACTTCGTTCATGTGTTTAACTAGTGTACACTTCGGCTTCGCTGATGGGAGATGGGAGAACTTGCAAAGGGAGCAGATGTTGGGACCGATTCAAATGTGTACGACGCCTGCTGACCAGGAGGGGTCAGCATAATTAATGGATACTATCATTTTTAGGGGAAACAGCAGAACTCTGGTGTGTATATTTTATTGATTTTCAAATAAATGATACATAAAAAATGTTCACAAAATAAGGAAAAAGAATGGACTATACAAGACCGAATACTTATCACTTTTGGTTAAAAAAATATCATATATATACCGTATGTATAACTGCATATAGTATTTCCCAACTATGTGACGCATGTGGTAAGCAATCCAAACTATTCAAAAAAAAGCATATAGTATTTCCCAAGTTTCTTCTTACTTCGCATATTAATTTTCTTGAGTTTGCATATTATTTGTGTATCTCTATGGTTATGTTCAAATAACCTCCCAAAATAACTGGACCATTCCCTCGGCAACGCCCTGATTCCTTAAACCACAAGGATCTCGAGTAAGTCTTTTCGGTAAAAAAATTGGCTTAAGTCCAACTTTATAAAGTTTGACCAAACAAATAATTATCAATATCTACAGTATTAAATAAATATGATATGAAAATAGAATCCATGATAGATATAATGATATTGATTTGGTATTATGAATGTTTATATTTTTCTAAAAATATAGACAGACTTTTAAATATTAGACTTAAGACAAAATTAATATGCAAAATAAAAAGAAACACATGATTTAACTTTTATGCACAAAACATCTGCTTTTCACGACACCTCTGCTCACGTCTCCGACAGTTCGACCCAACACAACTCCTATCTAGTGCATGCCTCCATATATCATCGGGATTAGCTGAACGGTAAACCCTATTGGTTGCTATGTATGACCAAATGTTGGGGAGTCGCGCAGAGCCGACGCGCCATTAGTCAATTGGTTGATTGATCTAGACCTCAATGGTGAGGTTGTGGTTTTGACTCTCAAGTTCAACATTTTTTTAAGAACTAGATAAAGCAACGGCAGCACGCAATACTCACTCAGGATGGGAATGTAAGTGCCACGGAAACTGAGGTCATCAATTTAACTAGTGAAATATTTATATTATGCCACAAAATATATGTGTAGAAATTTCATACAACTCTCAAGTTTAGCATTTTCTTGTTAAAAGAACTGGATAAAGCAACAACAGCACACAGTACTCACTCCGGATGGGAATATAAGTCTAGCACAGAAACTTAGATCAACAATTTAACTAGTGAAATATTTGTAATATGTGACAAAAAATATATGTTTAGAAATTTGTTCGATGATGAATCTAAAATTTTTTATAGCACACACGATATTTTTCACTAAGCAAGCCAAAAAAGACCTGCGACTGCAGGGCACACATAATGCATAAGAGGGTCCATAAAGAACCATAGGGTTTTCCCAAAAAAAAACAAGGGTACATTATCCCAAAATGTTACATCTTCCTACAAAAGTGGATTTGTTCCAGAAGATGCTATGTAAGCAAGAAGATTGTTTACAAAGAAAAAAACAACCAAAATTCATATTCTGATACATAATCTCCAAGATTTGGTGGATCGGCTTTTGTGCATAAGAGAATATGTGAAGATCTGAAATACCAAGCTAGTCTCACTTAAGTTTTTTGTTTTGACCCTGCGGTCTCACTTAAGTTACACAACTAATACTCAAAGAAGGAAGTAGTGTTATTTGGGATGAACATTAGCACGTTGATTTCAAGTAAAAATCATGTGGACTTGCACAGCACTGCCTCGGTTAGACTTCGCACTGTATTAGTAGTAAGCAGCAGTGCAACGTCCGGGTAGGTGCGGATAGGCATGCAGAAAGAATTCTCCGTTCACTGTTTATCTCGTCAAATTATCTGCCCAGTCGCACACGCTGCGAGTACGTACGCGGTATTCAAGAGAAATGCAGCTGATCAGTTCTCTTTAAATAGTGCGATACCTGAAGAGTATTTCAACCATCTCACAGTGCTAACCTTTGCAGCACAATCCAGCTATCCACAGCGCTATTTGCAAAGTTAGTTTGTGTCAACCGATCAGAATTCAGAATGATGATGAAATCCAAGTTTGTTGTGCTGGTGATCCTGATGTTGGCGATCACGGCGCTCTTCGTCGGGTCGAGCTCGGCGCGGCCGTTGGGCGGCAATGTGCAGACCGGAGCGTCCGCTGCCGGCGTAGTCAACGGCAAGTCCATCCTCCAGCTTCTCCAGCGACTGTATCTGCAGAATCTTCAGGGGGCGTCGTGCAAGACGAACGACCCCAATGGTGGATGCCCGCCGCCACCTTCAGGTTGAGGGGGTCGGGGGTGGCTAGCTAGCCAGCGCGAACTGGCAGGCCTACACATGAACTTGGTTTATACACCGCTGGTGCTTCATACTATAGGTTCTTTGATTTAGTTTTATTTAACTTGGGTATTGCATTGGTTAGTTCCATTCTTTTATGAATAATTTTCCGTAGTGTATGGTGGTGGATTTTTTCAAGTTTAGCAGTAGTTGCTGTCGGCTTTTGTACTTTTGTTAACCGCGATATGTTTGTGGTGAACTACAAAGAATCATATGTATCGGTACATAATTATGACGACAAATAAAGAATATATAAGAAGTTTGATGTCACGGTCTTTTTCAAAATTTAGTTATTGAGAATCAACTATTGTTTAGATAGTTAGAAGAATGGTTGTACCCAGCCAAACAGGGATCGGCCCACACGTTTGATGTTCAGTATCCAATAATATGCTTAATTCTTAAATTCACTATATACTCCCTATTTTGGAGCCCTCTCGTTCAATTAAGGCATATCTGTTTTTTGATTTGGCTCATGATTTCGACAGAGTCAACAATTTTTTAGGTGACCTATTTCCTTTGTTTTGGACCATGCTTCCTAATTTGGGAGCTCACTCACTCAATTGAGGTATTCAATTTACGATTTGGTTTGTAGTTTTGACTGAGTCAATTTCGATTGAGGTGTACACTTTTAGATTTGATTCGCCATTTTGGCTAAGTCAACAATTTATCAAATATATCGGCAGCAACCAGCCTATAAAAGCACATCGGTCCCACACACTCTCTCATCACCTGGCAAAAAAATGCCAACATGCAACATCGTAGGACTAATGTAGTACATGTGGTCATCAGCGCAAGAAAATATCCAACATATGTGTGACTTGAT